TTCAAATTGAAAGCTTGTTTATATGTGGCTAAATGTAATTTAGGCTAAGTTAAATGTAGTTTTATTAATAGCAATATTGCTGGTCAGCAGTCTCCTTCAGGGTGGTGTATGAGGTGGCCGGGGGATTTGTGCAGGGGTACCTTGATTTTACAGCTTGGCTTCAGATGTTAAGTCATTTGGTGTGTTTTTCGCTGTTGGACAGATCTCCTGCAGTCCTTCCAACCCCCTTGTCTGAATTTGTTTCCACTGTTTGGTCAGTGTGATGGTGCCTGGAGGTTGCCTCTCACAGGGTTGTCAAGGATACCCTACGCACTCGGTTCAGTTTGCTTTCGGGCCCCTGACCATCCTTTGAGGTACCATTTCCCAAGCTCATCTATTGTTGATGAGTTAAATGTTTCTATTGATTTATTTGTCCGTTTTTTTTTCCCAAGACGAACGTGTGGGGAATCAAATCAAGGGGTTTCATATGATGCAACTATATGGGCATGCAATATGTGCAAAATCATGTATTTGAAGCCATTTTCTTGCATTGCATGCCAATTTTTGGCTGTTAACATGGGTAAAAAGCACAAAAAACTAATAGGTGTTACAGTAGCTGTCAGTAGCATTTTTCATACATGCACATAGTTACGTATCTTTGTTTTCAGCTTATGATGCTAGCCAACAGTGAATATACCAGACAGAGTACCATATCTAGTAAATATTAGTATAAATCTTCTATCGTTCTATCTTGAATGCTGTCCTCTTATTGATTGTGCTACTCACTTTCTATTCTATCTATTCTGTTGTAGACAGTGAGTAGCGTTTAAGTACGACTATCACGCGATAAAAATCTGGAGCTCTTAATCTAATAGTTAAATAGATCAGATCCTAACGAGCAGTAGTTAGAGGCCATAAAATGTTATTTGAGGGCAGGCTTATTTTAAAATTTATGTTTAACAAGAATTTTGAAGAAGCGATCTTACTTCAGAGCCCTTTTCAGTCCATCTGTCACAGCTTCTTTTCTTGCCTTCTCAAGTGACAAAGC